CCTTGTAATATTTTTATCATGGAAAAAACGCTCTTCTGTAAAATTTGGTTTCTGGCAATACGATAATTTCGCGCAAAGGGGTCGATATGTACAAATTAGAGATGGGCACGGGACTAAATAGTTAATCCCGATCCCGCCCGTCTCGAAATACGATTTTAAAGCTCCGAACCCGGCCATCCCGACGTTTTTCAGAATTGTACCGCGAGTCCCGTGGGTCCCGAAATCTATCTCTAAAGCAGGCTACAAACGGACAACAAATTGAAACGACCGATTGAGATTTCAACGTGTATGGCGTGGTTTGCAAACCGATCGAAGGTTGACAAAAATGTTCATCTCTTTCAAATTAATTTTAAATAATAAAAATAATAATGAAATATTTGGCATCTTCCGATTATTTTTTTTTTGCTTTTCTGTTCGCTTTCGTCTCAATGAAAAGTTAAAAGAAAATATTTCAAACATCGTTTTTAAGGAAGATTTTGTGAATTTGCTGGCGCTGCGATTTTAGCGAGAGTGTCGGGAAAGGATTTTGGTCCCGTCCCGCCCGCCATATTTTTACAGATCTTCCCGGTACCGCCCATCCAGGCCAATTTTAAATCAGTGCCGTGGGTCCCGCTCTCCCGCGCCCATCTCAAACGTGACAAAAAAGTACAAAAAATACAAACTTTTGTCTATGGAGAAAAATTTTCAACTTTGAGTGGTTCTACCTCCTAAACTATCAAAAGTTATATTTTCGTAGTCTACGGAAAATTCGATTTGGAAAATACTGGACACCTATACTGGAACATAGTTACGTACATATAAAAACTTTATCGAACGCTTTCATTAAATTAATTTTTTTGCAACGTTTTTGCGGCAGATGACCCATAGTGCAACGGTTGGCGAGGAAATCACAAAGACGGTCGCAGCAGCTATAACGTTAGGCCGTATTAACTATGCTCAGGCATCTACAATACTGGACATATATGTAATTGCAGTAGACTGCCAATGAGTTGGGTGAATGGCAGGAAGGAAAATGCAGTCGGCAATGCGGTTTCACTCGACCGAACGTCAATCCGCATTAGGCAAAGTCCAGACCCAGTGAAATGTCTGTGTATGCGCGTGTGTGCAGTGGGGCTGGTTGCGCATGCGCAAAAACGCAGATTTGCTGCAATTGGCGCAGAAGTGTACTATGTATTTATGTATTAAGCAGTATTGAATCAGTGCTTGCTTTACTAGGCGGCTGCTGCCATCTACCGTACAATTACAATGCGGCATTAGTTACAGCTGCTGCAAATGGCAGGCTTAAGTGCTTGCTCAAATACTTTAGCGATTGTATGTATGTGCTTGCATGTTTATGTTTCTGTGCATTCAGAAATGCATGCATGCTTCTGTAAGTGCTTTGAATATTTGCCTTAAGTCTTTGCTCCCTTCCTTTGTTGACTCTTTGATCCCTGTAATTTCACTAATAGCTCGCTGGCGCGCATTTATCAGTCGGCACTAACAAGTAGTGCTTTGCAGTTACTACATTTTTCATACAAAACAAAAGTGAGAAATAAAATTACAAAAAAACAAAAAAAATAGGCGAATTACTACAAAGTGAAATAACGCGCAAAAAACCGCGACAATGAAAATTGCCCAACTCGCCGGCACAGCCAAATGCGTGGTCACGTTCTCAACGCGCCACGCTGCAGCAAAGCAAATGAGAAGGAGGCGTCCAGTCAGTCTTGCTAGTGCTGCTTGTTTTGATTCCCACTGCTGCCCACTGGCACTTCTATACTTACGTAATTCATACGGCCAAACATATGGATATGTACATACACATGTATGTATGTACGTAAGATGTGACAACTGAACTTGAATGGACTTGGCTAGTAGCGCAACTTTATTGCCTCACTATGACGCACTTTGCGCTTTGATTGCGTGCAAGTTCATTGCACTGCAATTGTACAATACTCAAGTGCAGCAAAGCGGGACGTGCGCAGTGCGGTGCGGTGCGGTGTGGTACATGCTGTTTGTTGCCGGTGCGTTCATGTGAACGATCGACCACTTGTGCGCATGTGCTGTGCGTTTTATGGACACAGTTTCGTGTTAAATGCAAGCAAAGAATTATTTTAATATATGCGTATAAATGCGAGCTTATAAATATGTATGATGGGTGCAAATACATCTTAATACTTCCTATTGCCATATTAAGTATCTTACAAAACTACAGTTTAGTATTGTTTTCCACGGAAAAGTAATGGGCACTATTTGTTTGTCATATAGCATTTTCTTTTCTAAATGCAGGCAAGTTCTGCAATTCACTTCTGAGTGAATTTCAATCTAATTCGCTTTGAATTGATTTTTCTGCTGGATCATCTGACACTTACGAACCTATGAAGATGAAACCGATTCATCATTTCAGCGTAGTTTCGATGATAATTCCATATTAAAAAGTGAAAATGAGCTTGAATCTATTCAGAATTATGTTGAGAACGTTCAACATCTAAGGCTTGCTGGGTGTAGAAGAATCTGAAAATTTATCTAGTGAATCTGAACCTACACGTTTTCTTGATAATATAACTCTCAGTCGCATTCATGATTGCATAGAGCCAAGTGATTCATTCAATTCTGGCAAAACCATTTCTCCAGAAAGGTCCTGTAAAATTTGAACAGATATTTCGAATTAGTGTAAGGAAAACAGAAAAAAATTATAGAAACCGAACTGCGAAACTCAATTTTTTGATATGTATGCTCACATCGTACAATAAACTTCCTAGGCCAAAAGCACTATTGGAATCAAAATGAATCCATTAGAAATCGAATAATTGAAAACCGTATTTTTCGTGTTACATATATGAGCCACTTACTTCCAAATTCTACTTTTCCTCGCCAATTACCCTCCAAATGTCAAAAAATCATATACATAACCACTACCGAAAAGAGATCCTGTTTCGAAGAAAATAAAACTTTTTGTTCGGCGCTACATCTTCTATTGGTACATATATGTACCAGATTAAAACCAATGGTACACATATGTACCACCACTCTCCCTCCCTCCATGGATTGCCCAAAACAATTTCCTCATTTCTCTAACAGGAAATGGTATAAATTTATTGAAAATAGCTTTTTTAGGTTAGTATTTTGATTAAGGGGCAAAATTCTTTTTCAGAGGCGAAAGGGTTAAGGCACCTAATTACGTACAATCGCATTTCACATGTTTTTTTTATTTTGTGCAGAAGAAAGCATCGAAAGCCTGACCTCCGCAGCGTGGGATTTCATCCCGGACTACCATCAAGTATGCTGCACGTATTTAATATGAATATTTAAAAAAAAAACAAGGGTGTACGCAGATTTAATGGAGTGAGCGTATGTAGAGAACAGTGCGCATGTATTTAAATATGTGCATAAGTATGTATGTATGTATATCTGAAACATTTTTCAGGGTCCTCCTAACCAGTGTTGCCAGGCCTTCGGCATGAGAAAACGTCTCTCTTGGTCTGAAAAAACGTAATTTCCTACCCAAAAACGTCCTATTCAAATGAATGTACAAAAAATTGTTCTTATTAAACTTTTACTGTATACAAAGGTACATGTGTACGTAAGGTATATTAAAATATCATTGCACATTTTAAATTCATTGTACACTGGATTGAGATCGTTAATATAAAAATCATTTTATACATATAACTGATTTAGTCATCACCATTTTGATCGATTTTGGCTGTTTCTCTTTTGTTTATTTAATGTTCATTATTTTTTCATAAAAGCTCATTATATAACAAACAAAATATAAATCCACATTTCAAACTTTGTGCAAAAATTATAAAAAATCTGCAAAGCTTCAGCTAGATTTTCAACTCTTTATTTAGATTTTTTAGAATTTTTTTGGGTATGCAGCTTGATAGCCCATTAAATTTCAGGGCAATAATGTGCAATTTTAAAGGGGCTAAATAATCGCGTTGATTTTTAATAATTTTTTTTCTTGTAGACATTTGGTAAGGGGGTCGGCTGTCGAAAATGCTAAATTACGTTCTGTTAAGAAGGAGCATAGCAATATTTCAGCCTTTTTTGCGTTCATTACATAAGTCTTAAAAAAGTCACTGTTTTCTGACTTTTTATGCTGCTACAGCTTTTTTGATGCTTTTGCCAGCGTGCGTGTTGCAAGAGAACAGCTCTTCCTGATTTTGCTTTTAATGGGCAATTGCAAACATTACAATAAGCCTCGTAACCTCAAGTATTTACACAAGCAGCCTTTGAACACAGTCCAAGAAACAAAAGAAAAAATGCACGTACGCTTGGTATGCATCATATTTAAGTCATCTGTGTCCAAAGAATAAATATCTTTTGAAGCAGTTGCTGCAAAACACAAAGCTTGTAAAGATTTATTAAGAAAATAATTCAAAATCAGTTTTACTTACAAGATTTAGTAAGAGAAAAAAATTCCTGGGAAGTTAAAAAACGTAATTTTTTACATAAAAAACGTCCAAACGTCAACAGGATACAAAAAACGTCCAAATGACATTAAAAACGTCAACCTGGCAACGCTGCTCCTAACCTTTGTATATTATTATCCACAAATAACTTCTTCTTATAAGCCATACATAATACTCCGCTTAGTAGTGTGAGCTGTAATGTTTATCCTACTTAGTATGTAGAATCTTTCCTTTTGGCGGTTGTATGAGGCTAACTATCACTCACCTGTCCGCATAGAAAATTTTTAACTGATTACAGTCATCGTAAACTTAAATACCGCTTGCACACTAGTTTTAGTTCACACCATTCATTTCCTATTTTTGTACACAATAAAGAATATTTACTTGCATACATATGGGTCACTTCAAAATAATTTGGTGTATGACAAAAACAAACACATTCGGCTATTTTTCACAATAAAACGCCACTCTACCATATAAATAATTAAGTAAATTAAAAAGAGAAAACTATTATAATTTGTTTAACAAAATTTATTACAAATCATCGTTTATTGTTTTTTGCTATCTTTCGCACTCTCTTTCTCTCTTTTTTTGGTTTCTTCGCAGGAGGTACTGGAAAATCGGATTGTCGAACTCGAAGAAGCGCTTTCCCGCTTGCAGGAAAGGGTAAATAATGTGAGTACCGTAGAATTTGTTGGTGCTTAGTGCTAAACCAAAAACAAAATACAAAAACTATTACTTAGTACAAAAAAAAAAAAAACAACAACAAAATTAATATCCAAGGGTTAAGCGGTCAACAGCCAAGAGAAGTTAGCATTAGAATCCATGCAACTGTTAAATCCAGCGCTTATGGGCGCCGCCAACGTCAAAGCTGACAAACGCGATGTGCGATGGATGAACGTTGGAGGGCTAAGGACAGAGTATACATAGAGGACAGATAACGAAGTAACAAACTATCGACTGTCGGGGAAAACTCGTTTATAAAGCGCTGAAGTTAGAATCGAATTAAAATGAAAATAAAAGCACACAGCCATGCAACCAAATTTGCAAAGTGGTATCTATGTGTAATGTATGTACATATGTATGTGTCTTTAGCTGATAAGATACTTATAGTCCAAGCATACTTCACATTATAGCCAATGATTACCAGACATTCAGTCAACTAGTCAGTCAGCCTGGCAGTTAGTTCCGCCAATGCTTTAGATGTTACTGTTATGTGGCAGAAAGCGCGCAAAGCTGATGTGGCAACTTAATTTCCTGAAGCGGGCATTACTCTCCAGCCACATTCCGACACATGCATACTTATGTTCATATGTATGTTTGTGCATAGGCACAAATGTGTTGTGCTTTAGTTTCAGATATATTCTTTGGAAGCAATACGACAATTCAGTTGTCCATTTCTGCACGCAATTGAAACAAACAGCCACTCAGCGGCGGCACACACCCATACACTAACACTGTGTAGAGAAAGATCTTTAGTAAATTACGGCCTTTACATTCGCTAGCCAATATACCGCCCAGCCCAGTTAGCAACACCCCTCATTTATAGCCCCCCATACGCTTGACGATGGCTGATGTTTGGGTAGATGAGGCAAGAAATTTATCTAGTATGCCTACGGTGGCCATATCTTTGAAATAAAAATACAGTAAACATCCTTCTTCATATATATATATATGTATTGTTCACATTTTCGTAAGGCAGCTTTTAACCCTTTCCCTGCATTTGTACAATATATTGTACATTTAATTTTTTGTAACATTGGAAGCATGCTACTAAATCTTATTAATATTTTTGAAAACAAATTAAACTTTATGAAGTTTTGTCCCGAATAGTTTACGTAAATTTCAAAATCGAAAACGTTTCAAAAATATTTTTAGAATTTAATTTAAAAATAGACCATTTTATAAAATTCCAGTGACATGCAACGTGTGGTATTTTACTGTACAAAAAATACGTGAAAGTCAAGTAAAATCGCTAATAAATGCACATAGTATGGAAATATAAAAATCATTTCATCATATAAAAATGCTAAAATTAAACTATTATGATTAAAATATTTTTCCCGAGTGGTCAGAAAAAAATTCAATATAGTGTACATTTACACTGAGAGGTTGTAAGGTCTTGCTACAATATATTGTACAAACGTCCGCAAAGGTTGCAGTTGAAACAGGCAATTAGGGTGGTTTTTACCGTGGTTTTTGAAGAATTTGTGCGCTGTTGTTGCAGTAAAGGGTAGGTTTTTAGTTTCTTGATCTACTGAAGACAGAAACACCGGGAAGGTTTATTAAAATGGGTCATTTGTATTTCATATTGTATTTGCACTGTATTTTTCAAAATTTATTATATATAATTCTCTTCTCATGGAGAAAATTTAAAATTTTTTAATGCAAATCTTAACTAAGAACTTAAGATATAAAATTTACATCGCGAAAATATATTTTTTAATTGAAGATAAGTTATCGTCAACTTGAATTTTATTGAGTCTATGTTTCATTTCGGACTTTGTACAAATTCACAAACAACTTTTTAATATTTTTTTTACTTTTGGTATTATACAATATATATAAAATAAAACTTAGAAAACCTTTTTCTTTTCTAAACAATAAAATCTTAAAATTAAAGGAAAATTAAACTAAAAAAGTGTTTATTTAAAAAAATTAAAATAAAACCTTTATTTCATTTATTTATGCACATAGTCTTTTATAGCGTTGTCATTAAATTAGACATTAGCTTAGTAACATGATTTTTTCAATAACTTAAAAATTAAGTAGACACCTAACAATAAATGAAATTAAAGAAAATAATAAATTTTTCTTTTAAAAGAAAACCTTCAAAATTAAAAGAAAATTTAATTAAAAAAGAAAAAATGCATACAAAAGTTTATAAAAAATTAATGATATAAAAAATATGTATTTGTGTATATAATTTAAAAATTAAAAAAATATTAATAATACAGGAAAAATTTAAATTAAAAAAAAAGAAAAAATATAAATAAAAAAAATATATATATATATATTTAAAAAAAAAACAATTTCGCTGACCGAGACTCGAAGCTCAGTAAATTATAATGCCAAATGTACGCAACCACAGTTAGATGCTAGTTTTCAACTGGGTTGCGCAAGTTACTACTTTTTCGTCTAGTGCGGTTTGGAAATAAAAGAGACAGAGCCTTTCTATTTTTACGTTTTAGAATGGACCCATTCTTTTCAAAATCTTCATTTTCTATTTTTTGCATTTGCTTTGTTCAGTAAGAATGATGAATAGACACATCGCTTTGACAATGTAAATTAAAGGTATGAGCTTTCCAACTTTTTTGTATTCTATGCATTCCTTTAAAGTTTGTATCTACCAGGCTGTATTCAGCATTTTGAAAAAGTACTTTCAAAGATTAAGTTTTGAAACAGCGGACAAAACAGGTTTTTAGAAAAATTAACCAAGTCAAAGGACAGACGCTTGAGAAAAAACAAACTGTTCTTTGAAATAAAGCACGGATGGTCACCGTATAGTATGTAAGGAAAAAGCATTACGAAATACTCTTTAAACATCAGAGCCACAGCCTTCACCATCGTCGTCTACTATTTAGTACACATGTTGGCTTCCACACATAAATATTATTGAATTGTTTGTTGGTTGGTTGGCTTGCTATTCTTCCGCCCAAACAGTGGCCAGACTGCAGTGTGCGCTCCTTCAATGACTTTGTGTTTGGTTACTAAACCGACTTCTGCTTCTTCATCTACTTGTTCGACCTGCGTGCGATTTGTTGTTTGTTTATTTTTGTTGGCAGTACGTGTATTTACTGTTTGTTTTTATCAATCTATTGCAGGAGTTATATCTATATATGTATGTACATATGTATATAAATATATACGAACATGTGAATGTTGGCTGATAGTCAGCATTGCGCCCAGTTATTGTCATCCTCCAGCCATTCCATGCCATTTGTCAATTGTTTATACGCATGTTTTGTTGCGAATTAACGTCTCAAATGAGGAATTAAATGTCTGACCACTGTCGGAATGAGGCATTCTGTGAAATGCCATCACTAAAGCTCGTTAATGTAATCGCCTAAAGATCCCTGCAACATTCAGTTCCGGCTTGAATGGAGATAATGCTTCGGGAGCTTACATGCTTGCATGTGAATATAAAGTGCGTACGTACATATGTATGTAAAAGTGTATTTACATAGATAAGTAAGTGGTTAAGTGACGTGTTTTGGTGTTCATTAAAAGCTATTTGTAAAAGTTTTCGCTATGTAGCAAATGTAAGCATTTTTAATCTTTGTATTTATTGAATAACTTTGCCAATAATATATTGCAAACTTTTGCCGGGGAGCGCAATGGATATTCATTAGTTAGCATTTTTACTTATTATTCGGTTGTTAATAAATTCTCTCTCTCTGAATATCTACAAAAATCCTCCTATACAACAAATCTGTTTAGTAAGAACGAGTACTTAAGCTTTAGGGTTTGGACTCCATGCTTAACACTAACCGGTGGAGTGAATGTCTGAAAATGGAGCAAAATTAAAAAAATTCAGATCTTCTTTTCTATATTGGCGCTCCCGGAGCACTGTCCTTATCATTTACTCGCCATCGTATAGTTCGGCTGGAAGGCCGTCAGCTCCAGCAGATTTGTTGTTTTTCAGCTGCATAATCGCTATTCGTGCCTCGTTATGGTTAGGCGGTGGGACATCGACTCCATCGTCATCGACTGGGAGCTGGGGTTCGTCTTCTCCACAACTTTCGGCGCTGCTAGCATTCAGTGGGGTGGAAAAGTGTTCGCTCCATAATTTAGGTACATTCTGGGCATCGGTCACTAGGTCGCCATTGTTGTTCTTACAGGAGTTCGCCCTGGTCTTGAAACCTTCCGTAAGTCGCCTACCTCTCTGACAAAAGTTTCGGTCGTTTTTCCTGTCGGCCAGCATTGAAAGCTCTTCGACTTCACATATTTCAACCTCTCTCTCTTTATCGCGCCAAATGCGTATCGCTTCCCTCTTTAGTTCAATATAACGGTCCCACATGGGTCGCTTTTTTTCCGATCGCAGAGTGGTACTTTAGGCGGCATCTTTTTTCTCTGCAGCTTCTTAGAACTCCTCATCGTGCGAGTTTTTTCTTTCGAGCTCGCTGAAATCTGACTACTTCTTCAGAACTTAAGGATCAGGAAATGTGTTTCGACTTCGCGCGTATGTCGGTTCTTTCAAGAGAGGGAAGGAATAAATTGGCCGTCTGTTGTGATTGCAGATTTTCGATGTTAAGCTTTCCTTGCAGTTTTGGACGCACACTTTTTGCTGCATAGAAGCGGTTGCGTATCTTGGCTGCAAGAAACAGTGGTCGGCGATGGAATCTCCATAATTCCAAATTTGCACTCCTTAAAGCGGCTACTAAAGTAGACATCGTAAGGCTCCACGTTTACCTTTCTTTGCCCCGTCCTTCACATTTCTTGGATGGCGGTGATGTCAGCCGTTTTCTACCCGAGGACATCAATCAGCCAAGCAGAGTAACCTTCCCCATTAAGGGTCCGGATATTCCTGGTGCATACCCTCAAATCATAGTCCTTTATAAGGGGGTCGTATCCGAGGCTTGTTGTGATTTTTCATTGGACAGGGTTTTAACGTTACGGGACCCAAACCCAGCGCACGCGAAGTTTTACGCCTTCCCACTTTAGTCGGTTGTTTG